GGCAACACACGGTTTTTGGGGATCCTGGTTTTGAAGAGCATGTGCAAATAAATGCCTAACATGATCCCTGAAGGGATAACTATGTTCAGAACCAGTTGTGTTAGCGCCGTAAAAGTCCTCCTTGTTCCTGAGATTTTGTTCCAGGTGCAGCAAAGATCCTCAGATCTACTAACGTCATAAGATACTTCAAAGAGCCTTGGCGATGTCGAAAGCAGCGCCATTATCCAGATAACCACAGACATCCCAACCAAATGTTTCTTATTGAAATTAGCCCGGTAACTTAAAGGCTTAACGACAGCACACCAACGTTTGTAAGTCAGAACGAGACAAATATAAATTGAAGCGTTACTGAAAGTGAACTTGATCCACCCAGACCAAATTGTACGGCAGAATGCATCGCTTGGGAAATAATCAACCTGTCTTGGAGAATAACCGTTTAAAATTAAGGAAGACGTGATGAGGAGAACAACAGCGGTAAGTAAATCAGTTATGGCCAAGATGAGAAGAAAGACGTTGTATGATTTCTTCAGTAGAACTCTGTTTTTGGCAAAGAGAATACAAACTAAGGAGTTTGCACAAAATGCTAAGCTCGCTATGATGACCAAAGCGACGTTTGTGGCTTGCGTTTTCTCATCTAGCATCATATTTAGCTTCAGTTTTTCACGAATTTTATCTGCTTCTTGATCGATTCTTGACTTTTGTTGCACTGAAGAGGTACCTCTTGACTCGAGATACCAAATGTAACTGAACTAATCTGAATTCAATGACGAAAGACCTGCAATGATAAAGTCTCACTAAATGCAACCGCCACAGCAAAGTAATCTTTGCCCGCGATAACAAACATTTAAGTGAAATTGTATATTTCTTAATGCATCATTTATCAATTAGCAGGCAGGTATTTTGTGATTGCAGCTGTAAAATAAGGAGGTTACTTCCGAGTTAACAATGACTGTATGTTGATTTATCCTAAGGCAAAACTTCTGATAAGAAAATCAGATCCGCCGATGACTCGCACTAAATCATTTAATGAAAATTTCAATATTTGTGGATAATACACGAGATATCGATCGTGTTCGAATTCCAATTTAACGCTTTTTCGTGGGTTATCAAAAAAAAAATGACTATAAACAAGTAATATATATGAAAATAAAATAGCACATAAAAAAGCAATTTAAAGGTACCAACAGGGAAATAAAACGGAAAGTGATTTTTTTTCAACGTCGCAACATAATTTTTCAATACTATATCAAAGTGTACTAGAAATGAGCTGTTATCAATTTCGGATTTACTTCGCTTTTATACAGTATCGAATGGAGCAAAATCGAGGGTTCTGGTATTGCTTTCTGTTACTTGATTTTGTTTCATGGAAATGTTTGGCGAAAGTAGGTTTGCCGGAAAACATCGGGGATTAATTGACTGCTGAGGTTCTGGATATTTTAAAACTAATATTTATACAACAATTAACAAATAAACACAATTTAAAACTACAGTTTGTGTGTGTGAGAGGGGGTTAAATTTTAGCACGATGAGCTATGAAAGGCAAATTCTACGAATTTTAAACCTAGATAATTGCATTTTTATGCGTCATTCCTCATAGATCTTCAAATTAATTGTCGGAATGATCAAAGAAAAGGCTAATTGATCAAAAGAACCTTTGTTTCGTTTATCTTTTCAAGTACAGGGTGGGTTTTCTGCTCGGGTTTACTCCCCGTAATTTTTGGTAAGAGTGTGCGGCCCGACACTCAACTTGTACCCTATTTCAGACCAAAATCGGTGATGTTCCATACCCCATTATAAAATAACTGAGTTACTACGCTCGTTCTCATCGGTCGATAGGTGTGTTTAGAGGAGACCTATGTAAACACGGTTGTGACGTTTTAGATATGGCGCGTATTTTTGAGAATTGTTTTATAAAAGCCGTAGAGTACTTTTTTCGTGTTTACATAGCCTCATCTAAACTCTCGCGGGGAGGGGGGGGGNTTCTCCAACGTTTTGCAAACCCTCTTCGTGTTTCAGGATGCTCTCGGGGGCGCTGGGAGAATTCTCCAAAGTTATGCATAACTGTCTCTAATTTTCCCAATTAAATCCTCCTCGTGTTTCAGGATGCTCACGGGGGGGCGAGGGAGTGGGTGACTGGGAGAACTCGAAACAGGGCTATGTAAACACGAAAAAAGTGCTCTATTGCTTAATTACAGACCTGAGCAAAAATTCAATAGCCCATTTCAGACCTCTAAAATTAGTACACGGCTCTTACACATGACCGCAGCTAACCAGAAATAGATTCCATTTGCGTAACTTCTCCAGTTGAGAAGGGCTGCAAATTTTCCAGTGTTCCTTGTAAACAAAATGTCACTGGCCAAGCCAAAGTGGAAAACATGGCTTATTTCAACCCAAAATGGTCAAAATCTATACCTTTCCCCCGGGGGGGTACTCCCAAAAAAATGGGTGGGAGTGTGCGGCCCGCTTCCCAAAACCCTTACCGTATTTATGACCAAAAACTGCGATTTTCCCTACCCTATTTATGACCTGACTAAACATTCGATACTCTCAGTTTATGACCGTTGTGGTTGGCACTGCCCTAAACATAATTTATGAAGGGCATTTGTTAATGGTATCATCAATAACGATGAAAAAGTAGCTTCTTCTAATATACATACTTAATTGAAAACTAGAGTGCAAAACCCCGCACTCCTATTCTATTTATGACCAAAATGGCCAAAATCGATACCCTATTTATGACCAAAACGGCTGAAAAACATACCCTTTGGGGCCGCAAAAATCTATACAGTCCATATAAGAGAATACCACTCCACCCTCCACCCGCCGCCCGCGGAGGTTCTGCTGAGTAAAACCGAATTTTATGTCCTGGATGCTCCCCGCATCTGGATTTTAGGAACTTGCAGGCAAGGACATTGCATCGTTCTACTTAGAGAAACACTCAAAAACTGAGGTACAACAACGGTAAAGGTAAATGAGCAAACGTATTCGACAACATTTGATGATAATCTCTGTGACCAAAATGTATTATCACTATATGAAAAATTTCGATCGCTGTTGATATTTGTCATTTTGTGGGCTCGAGAGAACAACAATGGCAAAGTCAATGCCTGCGCGCCCTGCAACAACGACCCTGACGATCGAACAGCAGGGAGGGGGGAAAGAGTAGGGAGGGAGAAACTAATCGAAGGATTAGGTCATCTTTATTTCCCTATTTAGTGAGGAAGCATATGCGTTTAGCCTGCGGAAAACAGGTGGGTTGTTCGATCACGATCGCGCTCTCATGGACACCTCATGTATCAGGTCACGCGCGATCTGCAGCTGCAGTGACGTCACCGATCAAAGGTAGCTGGGGTTCAGGCTCTCCTTAAACTAGCGCGGATTCTTTGATTCAAGAAAAAGAGAGGAGCGTGTCCCCTGAGAGGTGACTCTTACAATTAGTACTTGTCGGTACTTAAAACAATAATTACGGGGACAATTACAGGTACGTGGACGTTTAAATCATAGTTTTCAAGAGTAGACTGCAGTTGGCAGAAGCCACTCAGGGCACTTTTTTACCGCGCGGATCTGAGCGGTAAACTCCCCCGGGTAAACTCTTTCCCAAAATTTTTACAACCCGCGGTATTTTTGGTACACGGTGTTCACGTACTCGACTTGAATTCCCCAAAAAAGTTTCCTGTGGCTCGGTTCAAAGGCCACTTCGTTAATGGGATATTTCATCAGCAAAATGATATAGAGCTCTTCTACTTTTTCTCAGCCTGATCTGTACTGGAAAATTGAAATGATGGTCAGAACAGACAAACAGCCACCCAGCGAGACAGAGATTCAGTTTTCTAGCTTTCTGCTAGGGTATCTAGTCATCAAATAGAGAACTGAAGCTTGTGTAAGCATAAGCATTTTAAGAAAAGTTGAAACTTTTCTGAACCGCTTTGTTCTCATTATCTGATTTACACCCTCAAAATGCAGACAGAAAGTTATTATGAATGGGTTTCTGCAATTGAATGGGTTTGTTTTGCCAAAAACTTTCTTGATAAAAACTTAACATGATTAAGCTTAAGTTTTAGCATTATAACTTACTGACCAATCTATCAAACAATAAAAAAATATTAAAAACTCTTCAAAGATTGAGCTGCTCCTGTTTGTCGACCTGTTAGTCCACCGCTATGAATTAGCCAATCAGAATGGGTTGGTCATGATCAGTGGGTTATGTTAATGCAGGGGTTTCATTAAAGGTTTCAGTATTAGGGCAACTGGTTTTCTCAAGCGGGCAAAACTTTTTGATTTGAACTGTAACAAAAACTTTCCCTAGATCGTCAAACCAGGTGGGCAAAATTATCCTCATAGCCAGTCAATTTGCCCTAGCCTCTACGTACCTGGCTTTATTAATGAACTGCTGCAAATGTTATGTACATTAGCAGAAGACAAGAAAAACGTAGAAATTTTTGAAGTTCTGCTGCTGTTTGACCATTCCTAGAGGCTAGCCAATAAACTTTGATCAGAAAAGCATGGTGTATTTTCATGACATTTTAATGCTTTCTCCTTCCTCTTTCCAATTTTTCTAGGAAAATCGAGGGGGACTCTACTCGCTAGGTAGTGTTGTATAAGAATGCATGGAAATTGCTCTAAATGATATATGTCAGAAGGCATTTACTGTAAATAAACTGTCTTGCCTTATGTTTGTCTTCCGTTATTTTAATGTCCCTGTGTTCATCAAGCCATATAGGTTAGCTATACTTTCCTGTAGGCAAAACCCCAGAAAATATAATTCACCTCAATGGCTTCAATCTAGCTGTAGGAACACAGAAACATTAGAATAACACACAAAAAAAATTAAGCCACTTTCATTTATATAGTCTTGTCGACTCGTTCAATGTAGAGGAGTTTTTGTTCATTTTCATGCATAATTTGTCTTAAATTGCCAATAGCATAATGTACCATAGATTGTATACTAAGCCTGGGTCACCTCTGAAACAACCAGCTTTATTTTTGAATCCTGAAAAAATGATTAGAATCCCTCTTTTACTACATTCTGACTTCCCAATATGGGCACTTTTTTTACAAATGGATCAGATNAACAGCTTTGGTTTCTGCCATTTATTTCTACATTATTTATCTTTATTAACTCTAAAAAATAATCAATAGAAAAAGTCTCTTCCATTATTGAGACAGGAAATGAGTGATTTTACAAAACAATTGACAAAATTAAATTATCAGACTCAACTATGTTAATATAGTTGGTCAAAAAGAAACAAAATGCTGAACAATAAAAACGCAAATGTTGATAAGTTTTATATAAATTGTCAGAAAATAATTAAAGTAAATTTTCATGGGTTTTGTAAAAATCACCCAATTCCTGTTTCATTTCTTAAAGAATCCTAAACGTGCCACAGCTGGACACGTAAACCCCAAAAAACCAATACTTGGTAAAAATGGGGACCGTGTACCCCCGACCCACTGCTATGGTGCCACCTTTGGGGTTTTAAGGTGCCTAAACAGATTATAAACCATATTCAAGGCAGACAGACTGTATTTCTTTTTTGTATTAATACTGAAAGTGAACTTAAAATAATACTCTTAAAACAGGTGTCCCATTTAAGCTAGACTTGAATTTTTGACCAACTTTAAAATTTTATCTGCAAGTATTGCACTTACATTTTGCATTTTTTTATCTGAATTGGAACATCTGGAATTCTTCATGCATTGTTTATAGCATTAACTTGTTAGATGCTTTGAAGGTTATTTGTCAGGGTTAGTGCTAGTACAGCTTTAAAAGCAAATTAAGAAGAATCCAGAATGTCCCAACATCAGTTATTCCAGTACTGATCAGGTAGTGAAATTAATACTAATAAATTCATGCTTGGAAATTCAAGTCTGGGTCAAAGAGGCTGAACTTAAAAGAAAATTAATATTGGTGAAATCAAGTCAAGTACTGTAAATAAATAAATTAGTAATAATAAATAAAAGTGAAAGGATCATTTTGAAACCTCATTAGTGACCACTTAACTGTTTAAATGCCAGTAATATATATTTTTTTTCAGGTTTTAAAAGATGAAATAAAAAGCCAATCAACCAAAGAAAATGTAATAAAAATTGCCTGGCTATTAACTGATATACTGGCTGAAATAATGATTAAAGCTCTTAGCAGAAAATGATTGCTCCACAGTTAGCCAAATTTATTCACAGAAGAGTGATCTTAAATCATGATCAGATAATCAAGGAGATGGACGGATTGAAAAACATGGAAACATGTACATGGCATTGGATGACAAAGAGACGATGCTAGTTCTTCCATTAAACAATTAGATTATGAGCTCGTGATTTCTATCACCCGATAAAAATCAAGAGTGAATAATCTAATTGTTTTAGTATAAATCTACTTATTAGTTGTTCAAAATTTTATCTAAATCCTGTTCGAAGACACCTCGAAAACACGAAGAAGCGGCTGTCATTTTGTTAACAAGCACGCACTGCTACGCTACTCACTATTGATGACAGAATAGATAGTGAGTAGTGTAGCCAATCAGAGAATGGCATTTGTGATAGAATGCAAGTAGATTTATACTAAAAGGTGATAGTACTCCTGCAGGATTTTTTTAAAATTTTTCAATTAAGTTTTTTTAGGCCAATTAAGAATTAACAAAAACTATTTCAAGGATTTTCACTTTAAAATGGTGCTTCAGTTGTTTAGAACTGTGTATCATCTCTTTGGCTCCAGTTCTGATTTTATATACAATCATGACCTCATGAATAAAATTGTCAGGAATGAAATTTGGAACATGAACCAATTATTATTACTAATCTATGGAGTTGTGGATAAATTTGGCAACTTAGGCAATTATTTTCTATTGAGAGTTTTTCACCATTATTAAGGCCAACATATCTGATTAGCACAGGCAGTTTTTATTTTAATTTCTTTTGCATAGTTGGAGGGATTTTCTATGTCAGTTTGCAAGCTAACTTGATGACAATTACTTCAGTTGCAACTATACTCTATCTAGACTGTGATGAAGTGGTCACTTAATGAAATTTCCTCCATG